AGTTCTTCCACGGCCCATGCCCAATATTAAGCCAAACTACATAATACTCCCTAGGATCTCAGTTTATGTGGCACAATTTTTTTCTTCGAACACCGGCTAATAAATTGCTCAAAAAGGGAATAAACTCCCATGAAAAGGGAAGCATATAGTATACCAAAGACAACCTAACAACTTTTACCCACTTATATATGCAGCTATGAACTCTAAAGTCTACACGTGATTTTCCATCATATAGTGTGTGGTTTCACAGAATGCATGATCCAAATTAGGGCAAAGCTTAAATACATCTTATTATATTTAACCAAAAAAATCACATTCATGGGAAAACTTTGTACTGAATGAAAATCGAAGTAAAGATTGCTGCTAATCCCATTTCATAACAGAATCACAACCCTTAATCAAACTGAAGTCTAGTAAAATACCTTTTGTATAACATTAATGAGATCGATATCTTGAGTTTCTTCAATCGCAATATGGTTACCTGCCTCAGACGCTGCAAAAGTGGCCAACATATTGTAATCCACTTTCCCTGAAGAAGACATAGGAAAAGATTCAACAAAGTAGAAACGAGTAGGAATCATAGTTGGGGGAAGTTTGCTGGCCATCCAGCATCTAATTGTGGACCTGAAGACCTCAAGATTGTTTTCCTTTTGCTTGAGCAATAAATATGCTTCAAGAAATAAATTATCTCCTTGAACGCAACGAGAAACCACAGCAGAATCAGCTACTTCTTGGTGTTCCCTCAGAACGCTTTCAACCTCCTCTAAGGCAATACGGTGCCCGCAGATCTTTACAGTGCGGTCTCTTCTCCCAATATAAACCAGGTTTCCATCTGAAAGCTTTCTGCCGAAATCCCCGGTTCTAAAGTAAACTTCATTTTCATCGTTCTTGCCATCAATTATTTCTTGATGTAATTTCACGTTATCCAATGGCAAAATAGAAGGATGACTAAAGTATCCAGAAGCAACACAACTTCCACCGACACATATCTCTCCCTCATCAGGAGAATTTTCTCCAATAAGAACCACTTCACAGTTGTCAATGGGAATGCCTATTGGAATACTGCCCAGAGCATCTTGCTCCAACATTGTGGGCAACCACTTGCAGTCGAAATATGTGCAGTCACCGGAAACCTATTTCATACATCAAAAATATTAATAAGACTACAGAGAAGATAGTGAATTCAAGTGATAGGTGACGTAAGCTACCTTTTTTTCTTAACAGCAATCTTAAATTTGTATCAAGGTTGTTACTATTGCTTTTTAAATTGATAAAATTAAAGCCTGGTATGTTCTCCTTTTATCAATAAGGAAAATCAAGCTTGCTATGTCGTTACAAGCTATTCCCAAATAACCATCACTGCGGAAGTCATGACCCAAGATTGAATTTAGATTCCTCCTTCAAGAAGTGGTTGCATCACAACCACCCACTCGTTGAGGAACTGGTGTCCAGTAACATAAAGGAAAATGTATGTGCTTTGTGCATCAACTCTTTCTGATTATGTGCCTATTTATACAAGCAGATACCAGGATTGAACTTAGATACCAATGAAATAAGAAATGAAGCTTTGAGTTACATGTAGCAGCCATATCCTCCTTCAAAAAGTGGTTGCATCACAACCACCCACTCGTTGAGAAACTGGTGTCCAGTAAGAGAACATAAAGGAAAATGTATGTGCTTTGTGCATCAACTCTTTCTGATTATGTGCCTATCTATACAAGCAGATACCAGGAAGGGAAGGACAATTTTTTTTCTTTTTTCGATCAAGTAAGAGATTTCATTGATAATAATAAGGTCATTTAGTCTATATACAAGAGATATACAAAAAAAGAAAAGAAAAAAAAAGGAGAGACCTACAAAATATGAGGAAAATATTAAGTGATAATATCTGGATAAACAACTAAATCATTATCTTTAATGATAGGGAGAAAATACATTTGAGTCACAGTTGCTTTGTGCTTTCAAAATGCAAGACACATAATGGGTATTTATAAGAGTGAAAAGAAGTTTACGAATGAGGAAGTTCATGCATACTCCTCCTCTCTTCAACTAATACTGTAATTTCTCAAAAGTCGTGAGCACATAGTATGTAGATGTTCAAGAAGATGATCCCTTCCGCTTTCAAGTGCTAGAACTAAATCGAGGAGCCTTCTAACCAAGAATTGTATGCAGCTGTTGATTGGTTTCTAAATTATCTCTTGTGAACAAAAATATGCACTCAGGTCCAGACCGACAAATGAGAAGAATGCAATAGTTAAAGAATGAAATGCACACCATAGCACGAATAGAAATGAAATCACGAAATATGATGCTCTCCCAAGCCCACCATAAATTAGAAAACGAGATGCAGATGATACTTGGTTATTGAATGAAGAAAGTGTAAAATAACAATCAGCTAATCAGTCAATCAAACATGGGTCAATCTTCAATAGTTGAAATCAGCTAGAGTGATCATTGTATCATTTTGATCTATTCAAGTCCATTTCATCCCAATACTACCTAAATAATATATCCTCCTTTCTTAGAGAAGTACTACTTGATAATCTGTCATTTTAAGGCAATTTAAGAATTCCAAAACTAGAAGTTCTCCAAGTCTCATAATAATCCATACTCAAATATAAAAGTCTCTAATCAAATTTAGTAGTACAAGCTTTGGCAATTGTTGGGATTATTCAAAGATTACTTAAATTAGTAAATTTGATCAGATTTAATTACCGTAATTGTGCGTAGAATCAACAAAATACAAACATTTTATACACTTGTAATCAATATAAACTCCCAATCAAGCTTGAGCAAAAACTGTTAGAAAATGCTATACTTGTCCCTCATGGGTTGTGTAAGGGTTTTCAAAGGGGCATCCCGTGAAGGTTTGGGGTTGAATGATCAAGTCATTTATAACCCATACAAGTCCACTCATTAGCCGATTGAGCCTAACCTCTTTCCCTCTACTCTAGTTCCATTCCTGTTGAGCCTTTTTGATATCTTTCTCCCTCTAGCAAACCACAATGAATTTCTTCTGATTCCCTATTTTTGTACTTGCCACAGAGAGTGTTACTTTGACCTTCCTTTCTCTGATGGTCATCTTCGTCTAGAAAGAACTGACCACGCAGTTGTATCTCTCAAGAATAGAAACTCAATATCTTTCCACTAACTTGAATTTTATTGATTCTAAATAATTGTCTACTTCAGACATAGTTAGTTGTTGGAATTTACGGAGAGACAAACAATGCTAAGTTCTAGAGAATGAAGTGCTTCTTTAATTCATTCTCATCATAAAATGTCCTACAATATACAGAAGTTTCTCATCCAATCAATGCTTCCTGTTACTTTTGGACTTTATTGTGATAATGTTACCAGCTGGAGAGTTGTTGCACCCAACTCTACTTGAACATGCCAAACTAGTTTCCTTAAAAAATTTGCAAGACACCATTAAGGCTGTGGAAAGACACCATTAAGGCTAGATATGGAATGGAGACAAGGTGGATCAGCAACATAGCAACACAACCATATGGCACCGGAGTGTGGAGGACAATCAGGAATCTATGGCCAAAACTTATAAACAAGTGCACAATTAAGATAGGAGATGGTGGAAAAACTCTATTTTGGGAGGAAGTTTGGGCGGGACAAGCTTCACTTAAAGCTAGTTTCCCTGACCTATTCAGCTTGAGTCTACAAAAAGTGGCCACTGTCAAAGAAATGAGAGATGCTCAAGGTTGGAATTTAAAGTTCAGAAGACCTTTAAATGATTGGGAGGTGAATAGAATGGTTGAATTTCTAAATATCCTGGAACGATACAAGGAACTCAGTAACAGAGAAGACAAATTGTTATGGGATCCAGATACACAGGGGAGATTCTCAGTTGGAACAGCTTACAGAAACTCACAGAGGACACACACTCAATCAAGCTACTGGCCATGGAAAATGATCTGGAAAGTTAAGGTGGCCTGTTTTACTTGGCTCTTAGCAAAACAGGTTGTTCTCACGCAGGATAACCGTATGAAGAAGGGCCTCGATTTGTGCTCCAGATGTTTTTTTTGTGAATGTGAGACAGAGACAATAAATCATCTCTTTTTACACTGTAAGGAGATAGTGAAACTTTGGCAAATTTTCATCAATAAAAGGGGCATCAGTTGGTCTATGCCAGGAAACATAAAGGAAGCTTTGGCATGTTGGAATCGGGATGGAAATCAGTCGGGGCACAAGGAGAGATGGAAGATTGTCCCAGCCTGCATTTGGTGGACTATTTGGCTGGAAAGGAATCAAAGATGTTTTGAGAACAAGAGCTGCTCTATGGAGAAGATGAAGCTGAATTGTTTAGCTCTTTTCTATTTTTGGTGTAAACATGAATATCCTCATGAAGATGAGGATATCACTAGTATGTTAGAGTCCTTAAGGAGTTCATAGGAAAACAGCAACACTGTTGTATTTCTGATTGTAGGTATTACTGGAATACATCCTGAGTATTCCTGTGTTTATAATACAAGTTACCTTTTCAAAAATAAAAAAATAAAAAAATTTGCAAGTTGTGCAGCCTATTCTTTTCCCAAAACACTCATACAGGGGATCCTCGAAGGTGTTCCAAACATTACCTATAAATTAAATGAGTAGATACAGGGGATCTTGCTTTGTCTGGTTGTTGGCCAAGGAAGCAGCTCTTACTCAAGACAATGTCATGAAGAGAGGGATAACCTTATGCTCTAGATGCTTTCTCTGTGGAAAGACTTTAGAGAATGTAAATCATCTGTTTCTACACTACAAGTACACTCAACAATTATGGAGGATTTTTTTGAGTCACAAAGGCATCTCCTGGACTATGCCTGGGAAAGTTTCAGAGGCTTTAAAGAGCTGGGAGGAAGCAGGAGTACTGGCAAAAGACAGAGGCAGATGGAGACTTATCCCTGCTTCAATATGGTGGGCAATATGGAAAGAGAGGAACTCTAGGTGTTTTGAGAGCATAGAAAATCGTGTGCAGAAAGTGAAGCTCAACTGCATTTTACTATTATGTTTTTGGTGTAATCAATTATACTCAAATGATACTGTCTCTATAATTGATGTTTTAGACTCAATTTAGCCATAGAGCAGTAAGAATTTGGGGCTTTTGTATATAAGGTTTCAGTACAACCCATGTACTGTTTTGTGATACAATACAACCTTACCAAGTTCAAAAAAAAATGAGTGGATAGGCTTGGCAAAAATCATATCTCAAACTCACAAATAAAGTTGCTCCATAAACATAACCGGTGTACACTATACAGAATGTGTCTATAATCACACTAAAAGCATGGAATCTAAGTTTGAAAGGATCACCTTCATGCAATACTAACTATAATGTATAAGTTATGTGTAGTGATCAATATGCTGATCAATAAGTTGTTCATAGCAGCACCAGCCAGCTGCAACTAAAAATGAAGAAAACCAAACTCCAGCATAACTAACCTAGCAAATGAATTCTTTCACTAATTCTCACCTTTCTCTGTTTCTCTCTTTTCTTCTTTCTTCATTTTTTTTTTTGCGGGGGGGAGGTTACTGTTTTCAGGCACTACAATTACTGCAATTGTTATGTGTAAACTTCAATCAGCTGTAAACGAGCCAACTGCACATACACATATCTATGGTTGGAGTAAAACTAAATAAAGCTGGAAATTTTAAGGTCTCCAGGCTCTTCCTATGTGTTCCCAAAACCATCCGCTGTAACCTCCTTTTATAGCATGCATTCCCCCCCCCCCGGCTAAGATTCCACCCCCATGATCCAGAGGAGGTTCGGGGAAGTGGTTGTAGAAGGGCAATTCAACAAAGGGGGACAAAACCAAAGTGGCTATATCATTTCAATTCAACTTAGTTAACCGCATGAGCAAAAGAAGAGTACTAGCTCAAATCACAGATATTCTTTATGAGAGGTAAAAAAAAAAAAATTCAATCAATATGGAAAATCTCCCATATACAAGATGTATACCAAAAAGTAGAGAGCCAGCATTAAACTCAGATCATCCAGCTTAAAGGCTAATATGCACGGATTACGGTCACAAGCACTAAAATTCAATAACGAACATAAGTTTCCCATCTTTCAACTCCAGACTAAAGTGATTTTATTGAGTACAAAAGTTGGTACAAATAAAAGGGTGAAGAAAATCAGCATCTTGTTTGATATGAGCAAGCATTACTCAAAGTTTCTCTTTTCAAGTGAATTATTATAACTACCAGAACACAAGTGACCAAATAGTAACTCACAACGATGGACATGGAGTCTTTTTTCCTTCCAAGTTATTCAATATTATAAGTTGTAAGGATATAATTAACCCAAAAATAAATCACACAGACAGAAATCTTTTTTTTTTTTTTTTTTTGAACATTGGTAAAGTTATCACACAGACAGAAATCTACCTCTGTGCTTCCATATATATTAAGAACAGAAGTCTGGGGTAGCAACTTGACCAGCATCTTCCACAGAGAAATATCAAAAATTTCACCACTTAGCACTAGAAGTTTTAAGGAGATCTGAGCTGTAGGATAATGCATGCTATGCAGAGCAGGAAGAATCGCCCTTATAAGAGATGGAACTGCCACAAGCCTGCTAATAGAATATTCCTGAAGATAAATGATGGAAAAAATAATGGAATTTTTTAAAGATACAATGCTCTCATAGTATGGGAAAGAACAAAGAAAATGGAAAAGGTCCAAATTCCCCCCTACTCTATCCGAAATTTTCATCCTCCGTCATACCTTGGGTCCATTCACACCCTTGTTAGAAAATCGTGTTGTATTTCCCCTTGACATTAAGGGAGCTCTAGCATGAAATGGGTGTCAAGATACTTCGAGAAAAAGGTACAAATTTACCCCTCCCGACTATGTTTTCAATTAGATAAAAGTTGGAGCGACATTAGGGGTCCAGGAAAAAACGAAACTTTTCGCCGGGGGAGGGGTAAAATTAAACCCAAAGTATAACTGAGGGAAAAGTTGCTCAATTTTAAATAATATAAAGACAAATCTGACCCTTTTCCCTAATGAGTATATGGCAAAATTGTCCTCTGCATCAGAAAGAAAGAAAGGTGGCTCAATTTTCAGTTTGCAAAAGATAAATCAGTGACCAGCCAGAGAAGAGATTCAAGATCCAAGGCAGGCAGAGTAAATGCAAAAGAGAAGAGTAAAGATTCCCAACCAAGACCAGAGCCTGTTATAGAACAACCAGAAATCCATCCAATGAAGGTAGCTTAATTTTTTTTCAGTAAAACACACTATCGGTGTGCAGAAAACAACGAAGAATAGTCACGAATCTTTTTTCTTGCAATATTTGAAAATTTTCTAATCATGGATTCACAAAGTGAACATTACCCCCACTTGGACTTCATGCAATTATTACCAATAACAGTAATCTAGATTATATAATACCGAAAATTGAAAGAAAATAAGAGTTGTACAAGCACCCTTCCCCCGTCTTAAGTGTGTGTGTGTGTGTGTGTGTGTGTATGAGAGAGAGAGAGAGTGATGGATTTTGTCCAGTAGTATTTCAGCTTATTGCAGAATTTACACCAGCCAATACAGAAGCTATGGTAAAAATAAATGGAGGAACTCATGCAAATACTAGATATAGAAGTCTAAAAAAATTGTAGAGGAAGTTAATTGATCACTGAAGCAGTGACATGGAAGTTGAAGGCTGTAATTCATTTACTCAGATATAGATTCTACAAGATCACCAAGCACCCAATACTCTCAAGAGTCAAGACCCTTCCATCCGGCAGCACCTGAGTGAAAATACTTGCTTTATGTTTGTAATCGTTAGAATAAGCAATTGGTTAATGGATAGGAAAGCCCCTACTGTTGTTGGCAACCAAATGAGAAAAAAAATTCACACCCTTTGAAATGCACTGCCAAGTAACAAGAAATTCAAAGGGTAAATAAACTGTTCACATATACCTGTAAGAGATTGACTACACAAAATATATTGTCCTTCAGCTGATTGAAAGGAGGTATGATCAATGTACAATTAGCAAGTATAGCTCCTAAAAATTCTTGCAAATGGTCAATGAAGCTTATGGATGTTTTGAAAAGAAGGATTTCTTCTTTTTGAAAGGGAAATGATCCTTGCATCCACAAGAAGCGGTTCAGAAGACCTGCAAGTGTATGATAAAATAAATTGAACTAATGCCTAAGTAAAACTGAACGATAAAAGCATAGTTTGTACAGTGACAATATAAATTGATGAGAAATGGTTAAACATTCTCAAGGATGTACAACTCACCTACTTCAGTACCACATACCCCCTTGGGTATTCCAGTGGATCCAGATGTGTACATTAAGTAGCAGAATGACCTCAACCTTTCACTTTCACAAGGCCATGCTAACAATGAGTCAGATTTTTTTCGGATGACATCCTCTATTGACATATAAAAAACGGGATTACTGCCTTTATGAATGAGCCATCGTAATTTATCAAGCTGGTGACAAGTTCTGTCAACTGAAGATTCATAGCCCACAATAAGATCAGCTTTTGAAGAAGATATTACCGATAATATCCTTTCGTTTGGCCATGATGGATCTAATGGCATAAATGCTTCTCCGCACCTCAAAACCGATAGAACAGAAACAATGTACACAACTGAAGGCTCCATATATATTCCAACTACTTTTGGGATATATGTTTTATGGAGCAGCTGTGTATACTGCTCTAAACCTCGATCAGAAGACCCCACAATTAACTGGTCCTTGGAACTGCAGTCATTTGCAGTTTGATGCATATTAACTACTAACCATGAAAAGTTGCAATGCCTAATTAGTTTACTCACAAAGCAATCAACAACATCCGGAAGGATTCTATAAAACCAAAAAATTTCAAGGAAATGGATATAACATTTTCACATTCATTTAGGAATCATTGTAAACACAGATTAAGGGAAACTATCTGAATTTGCCCTTGTGCCATCTGATTTTGCTCAATTTTCCCTCCATTATTCTTTTGGTCCAGAATCTTAGAGAACAATGTTCCAACTTTTGAGTACTGTCTATCATTAGACTCGGGTGGGAGCTCCGTCAAGGGCCAAAGGCAAAAAGAGACTTTTTTCCAAATGGCGGGTAAGATAGGACCATCCATTAACCTTTTGGCAAAGTTGCTCAATTTCAGATAGCATAGACCTTATTCTAAAAGCAACAAAAAAAAAAATTAAGAAGGTAAAAGTTATCTAAAGCAAAATTAGAAAGCCAAAAAAAACTTCAAGAAACTACCGCTGCAACATGCATAAGATATAAAAAAATCAAGAAACCAACATGCACAAGATATAAAAAATTCAAGAAACCACTGCTACAACACGCACAAGATATAAAATATTCAAGAAACCACTGCTACAACAGGTACAAGATAAAAAAAATTCAAGAAACCACTGCTACAACACGCACAACATATAAAAATTCAAGAAACCACTGATACAACACGCACAATATATTCACATTCACCAGTACGTCGAGCCCTCGAGTGTAGGAAAGGTAACAATTAAGCAAGAATCATTCTCCGAACTAGATCAAGATACATATGTTCACAAATTACTACAGAAAGAAGAATCTTGGTTTACTCCATAAATAAGGAAAGAAAACTTAATCTTAATTCAGTAAAACCGTAGTTAATATCACAAATATCAGTAACTTAGACACACATTAACACCATATTTTCTTCATCGTACCGTTAATTCATAATACCCCACTTAAAATCACAAATTTCAGTTACCTGAAGAGGGTTTCACAAGATTGGGGTCATCACCACCATCAAGAATGCATCGGAGCCGTGAACTAAGAGAATCAACGGCGGACAATATCTCGGAAAACGTGAAGCACTGATCACCTTCGTATACCGGGGGATTAACCGACTTCCTTTTGGAAGAAACAAACTCTTGAAACTCCTCCCGGGTATCTTGGTCGCCATTTTCACTGCAAGAAAGTCGAAATTCTTTGGCGATTTTGAGACCCCCACAAGCTTGAATGACTGCAATTTTGTTGGGGTTGTTCGTAGCAACTTTATAGAACTCATGAGATATACAACAAGTAGAAAGCTTATTGTGTAACACCATCTCCGAGGAACAAATTGCGTTTTGTTGAAGAAATCAAGAATGAAGAACAGTGAAGAAGCCGTAGCTGGTGTTATAGTAGTTGGAATGTTGGGGAAAAGACGCGTAATTTGTCTAATGTACAAATTGGTACATCTAGTTACACGATTTTACAATGTCGGTCTCTGTACTTACTAATGTAACAAATATATCTATTCTAAATCCGCTAAATTCCTAAATAGTCCCTCAAAATTGGAATTAATATTCTTAATGTTTCTATTTTGAATTTAACATATAAAATATATTTATATATAAAAAATTATTTGCGGTTATTTTGGTTCAATTTTATTTTACTTTGATTTCAGTGGGATTATGAATTTACATTATTCAAAACAATAATTTTACTTTAAAATCTAATAATAAATTCGATTACATAAATATAATTTATTTGTTTTCGAATTTGTTAGTTTTGACACCCCTCCTACTCGTAGCCTTTTATGGCATATCGAAATGCTTACTTCCTAGATTAATTTGATACAACACATTTTCATGTATCATAAGGAAAACCTCCCAAGATGAGATTTGGGAACATACCTATCATGGTCTCTTTAATTAATTAATCAATCCTTTTAAATTTTTCAACGTAAAGATCCCTAAAAACACAAAAATCGAAAGTGGGGTATGCTTAAATATAGATACATGTATAAATAAGATTATCAAGCTTCCAATTCGTAAACACACTCGTTATATAATTGAATAAATATATAATTGACTTACGTCTTCAATATGCAAATGTGTTTGTCAGTTGTCACTCAATGAAAAGAACGTCCTAAAAAATTTGATGTGTGATATCTTAAGCCTTGAGATTGGATTCACATGTATCCATTATCTAGTGATACTATAATGCCTATCCCCTTAACTAAAAGCTTCACGGTCAAGCATGCACTAGAAATGGAATTAGGAAGCAATTTCCTCTTCATGAGCCTTAAGGACTCGAATTTAAATTAGTTGGGATAGTAAATTGTACTATAGATACCAAATAATTAAACCCAAAAAAGAAGAGGTAAAACTTAATTAATTAAAGTAAAGATAGAGCTCATCATATATAATTTAGAAAGTGTGAGGCTTCCTAGCTAGACTTAGTAGGTGTTTGGCCATGAGATGATTAAAACTTGTCATTTATCAGACTTTCTTGGGTCGAAATGGGGTAAGGGAGGTTAGTAGATTAGCTTACCAACTGCGCTTATCCCTCTAAATAATCTTGATTAGGTAATCTTAACCTTAATTAAGGAGTTTTGATACCTATAAAGAAAAAGCTACATTGAACTAGTAATCAAATACTTGAAAAAGGAACAAGAGAGCTCGTGTTGGTGTTGTCCGGTTTGGATATTGCACGTAAATAAGCATTGGTAATTAGTATGAATTATGATGGGGTGATGCTTGTTAATTATATGGTCTAAACCGTAAGGGATCATTTGGTACTATATCCCTTCCAACTTGGTACTACTATTTTATCCCATCTTTCGGATGAAATAAATTAGTTCAGAAATTAAAATCACGCAACTATAATTCTGAATAATTTAGTCTGCGAACCAAACGATCCAAATAATATAAGAACATTTCTAGCTAGAACACTATAGTGGGTGGGTGGGGAGGCATGTTTTTGATGACTCTTGGCGACAAATTTGTTCTTACTAGTCACAATATGAAAGATCTAGCTTGAACAATATATTTGACATAGTTCTAATAACAAAAAATTGTAAATACTAGTATAAGTTACTACTCTACATTTTATCAGATAGTCACTCCAGAACTGAAGAAAAATCAGACTTCATTAAATTTCATCAAGTGTTGGTATACTTCAAGAATTTACAGAGTTTCAGCCAAGACTTAAAATATGTTTCAAGAAAATATGAATCTTCCTGTGGAGACAGATCTGTTCATTGAAACAGGATTGCACACAAAAAGATGTTGTCCTGAAAATGCACTTAAAGAGGTTGATCTTCTGAATTCATTTCCAACTCTGTTATTTCCACTGAATTCAGAATTCTCCCCTGAATTGTTCTTTGTTGAAACATCATCATCACAAACAATGGTAACTACAACCTCATCGCGATGTAGTACTCCTTCGTGATCATGATCATGATTATGATCCACCACCAATATCAAGTCATTTTGTCTTTGAAATTGAAGAGCATTTATGGTCATTGGAGAAGGAATAGGAGGAGGCAATGACGGACGACTACTAGTAGTACTAGGAGCAGGAGGAGATACTACATTAGCTCTACAAAGAGGGCAATTTGGATGAGATTTCAACCAAGTGTCAATACAGGGGAGATGAAAAGCATGGCTACATTTAGGCAAAAGCCTAAGATTCTCATCTTCTTGAAACTCACTCAAACAAACAGCACATTCAGTGTCTTCAACCAATCCTTCACCTTTCTTGAACTTACACACTGTGATAGCCTTGATGGTAGACTCATCCAATCCAGCAACAGTAGCAAGTTGCCACTGATCTTGAGGCGTCTCGTTTTGATTAGCTTCCAACTCTGTTGCACCATTTCTGCTCCTCCTCCTCCTACAATACTTAGTAATGATGGTATAGTAACTAACAAGAAGAAAAGCACTTGCCAAGATACCGATGATCGCTATGATGAGAGGGGAGAAAGCTGTGGCTGAATCATCTGATGCATCTTCATCATCAGGAGGAGGAGGAGGTAAAAGAAAGTAACACCATTGTGGACAATAAACACTACAAATCCCTTGTGAACAATCTTTATAACTATCATAAGGTGCCCATGGATTAGTATTTCCAATAGATCCCATGTTTAAAAAAAAAACAAAAAAAACTTTGCACTATAAGCCTAACTAGTAGCACTTAGAATCAAGAAAGGTTCCATTTTTCTCAAACAAAGAGAGCAAAAGAAAGAACCCCATCAAATGTTTTTGCCTTGTTATGCTCTTTTGTTGTTGGGAAGGAGTGTAAACTAAGGGGGCTTAGATGGAAAGGGAAGCAAAGTAGGTGAAGTTGAGGTGTCAATTCAGAATTCAGATTCTTTCAACTTTTGGTAATTCCTTTTTAAGTTCCCCAAGCTCATCTTGTTTCTTCGATTTTCTTGCTTTTAGTATAGACTTCTATTTTTAAAAATAAGAGATGATTGTTTGTTGAACAATAAGATACAAGTTAGTTGGGGCTCTCAAATTAGGATAAGATATGTGCAGGGCATATACCTCCAAATCAAGAAAATCAATTCACTATTGTTTTGTCCACTAAAGAAAGTCACCCAAATATTACAAAGTCATAATACATAAATATTCCCTTTAACTTGGCTTCAACTCTGCGCCCTCCAACTTTGAGTGTGTACAAGTAGGCATTTAAACTTGTATAAAATTAAATAAACAAACACATTTGTCCTACGTGACATCCTCCATAGCAATTTTGTGACATATGTGGCGTCCTACATTTATTATGTCACGTAGGACATGTGTGTCTATTTGTTCAATATTTATACAAGTTTAAGAGTTTACTTGTGCACACCCAAAGTTGGAGGGTATAAATGTCAGCTGAAGTCAAGTTAAAGAGTATATTTATGTATTATGCCTATTACAAAATATACAAAATGCTCCAGTTCTGATCTATAACTCTAGGCTTAGCTTCTAGTGAAAAACTAAAGTCCTATCTCATTGAATGAACAAAACTCAGCTTTCAAATTTCATCAATAGTATTTCCTTTTTCTCCTATTCATACCCCCTCTTGGCCCTAAAAGAAAGAACTAAAAAGAAGGAAAATAATCTAGAAATTTTAATAGAATACATATACACATATAGCTTAAAGCACAAGGTACAACACCTATAATGCACATGTAGTGTATGATATAGAGAGACATTAGATGTATGTATTATAGTTTGATCTATTTTTGGATCTTGGGTAATTTAGGAAAAAGCAACTAAATATAACCTGAGTTGTAATAAATTGATTGTTAAATCTTAGTTTATATTTCTAAATCTAAGTTTGTTACACCTTCCAAGAGTTTTAGTTGACCAATGAATATTAAAAGAAACCTAACTTGTAGCTTACAGAAGTTTTAATATTTATTTATAAAATATTATAGATGTTGCTTTCCTAGGCAAAAGAAAAAAAATAGCATCTACTACAGTTCCAAAAGGAAAATAGAAAAGCAAATTGAGATTTAGTCCTTGTATTTAAATAAATTTGTATTAATTAATTGTAATGAAATAGTAATAAATCAACATGATAAGAAATATTAACATTAAGTAATAACAATATATAGCATTAGTTTATTTATCATAATTACATGATAACATTCTCAACAAAGACATATTGTACTCGTTAAAATTATACTGATGGAAAATTGTGATCTTCATATAAAGTCATGGAGCTATCAAATAAAAAATGAATAAAAAGTAACTGTAAAACAATAAGAAAATATCCCACTATAGTTTTCAACGAATATAATGATGGAAATAAAGATTCTTGAAGACAATGAGAATATTAAGGGGAATAGTTTGCATTTGTACTTTGTAGCTATGTACGGTTTGTTTCTTGCCAGGTCCCTTCTTTCTCTTTTTCCTTTTTCACTTTCCGCTTGTTTCGTTTTTTTGAAATTGAAATAAATTTAGTGAATCATAAAAGGTGATGATATTATTTATTTACTAATAAATAAAGAGTCTACTTTAAAATCGTTCGTCAAGTATTCACTCCCGAATGTATTTTTAGTAGGAAATACACGAGGATAAATTAGAAAACCTCTGATAAAATCCATGTATGTTATCCTAGAACAGCCGAAATACACATAAATTAGACAAAACACCAATGTTAGATGAAAAAAAAAAAATCTTAAGTGGATCAGGAGTATATACAAGTTACATTTTGGTGTATATAGTCATACATTACAAGTATATATATTATTTATAATAAGTTGTAGAAATAGAGGCTTTGTCCTAACACGTACATATATTAAACGTTTTTTTTATCCATTAAAATTTTAGTGAGCCGATACTTATGCCATTAATAAGAAATATGTATATACTGTAATTACATTTTAGTGAAGAATTACCAGTATTATCGAAGAATTACTCATGCACAAGATGTACAAGTCACGTTTTTAGTGCGCGTAATCATATTATATTGCATTACTAATACTTTTTCTTCTCTCAATTTGAGCTTATCAATTTGTGGATCATATACTAGTCCTCTAGTTAAGAATGAAGAAATACTTACAATGTAACTTAACGTTAACATTTATTTACTAGTACTATGTTATTTGTCGTAGAGTTTGTACTCTAAAGGCATATATATATATATACATTATCACAAGAAAATTGATATGACATGAAAAACCTTGGTGTTTTCTATCTTATCTTTAGAATTAATTGCAAAATATGAACTTTACCTTGGTGTTAGAGTTGATTTTTCAAATGGTCAGTTATTATCTCATAAAGTCATTTTTATTTTCTTAGTTCTAATTTTTAACACAACAAAAAAAAAAAAATAACTTTGTGAGATAATAACTATTTTACTTGAATTTCGTATCACTTATGAGAAATTTGCACCTTAATTCTACTTATTCATCTTTTCTGAGGTTGACTATAAAAAACAAAAGGCAATAATAATCATAAATATAAGAATTATTTGCTTAATTAGGTTCATGACATGACAGGCATGCAACTAGTATATACGTAATTCATATTATTTGTACAATGATTTGTTGGTACACCTAATCCTCCATCTAGAAAGTTTATCTAATATTTGTTAATTGAACTTCAAAGTAATTAAATCGTACGTCCTAGATCAATATTCTTGCACGTTTCGTGCATCATTCAGCCAAACAATTGACATCATAATTAATTTGCTTTTTAAAAAAAATGTAAGTTGTGATTAGGGTTTTAAAATTACTTTAACTTAACCTACATACGTATATATGATTAAGTATAAGATCAAATATTATTGATGGGCCAAGGAGCAACAACGTGCAAGACGCATTTGAGACAATATGTCTCAACTTATTTGCTTTATTTGGTAAAAAAAAAAAGACTTCCCCCTCCCTCCGCCCGCCCCCCACACTCACACAAAATAACAAAAAAATTGTATATCTGATCTATTGGAAGTGTCAGTGTGAACTCTTGTATTGATAGTTGAAAAGAAAAAGAAAATATGTATATGTTGTGAAAATATTTTTAATGATATGGAACCTTTTTAAGAAAAAAAAACGTGCAAATTTGATTCAAAACAAATAATATCTCACTATTAATTAATAAGAGTATTTTTGTGGAGAGGCGAATCAAAACTCGGAAGACGATGGCACACCAGTAGTCATGGGCTGCAGACACGCGTTAGTCAAAGTAGTGTCACACGATATCACTTCTCAAATTTTATTTATTAAACATGCATATGAACTACATGACATTACTTGACGACATTTACTTGGTCTAAAACACTGAGCAACATATTTGACTAGTGCCCTCAGCTGGCAACTATATTTTAAGGTGCCTAGCATTTTTTTTAAATGATAATAATATTTTTTCGAAGTTAACGCGGTCCAGTGATCCCACCCCCTCCTTCCACATAGGTTCATCTCTATCTTTGGGCTCATCTGTATTTGACCTTCCAAAACCTCTAAGGTACGTGATCAATCTTTAATGAAGCTAACTCATAAGTGCACTAAAAGTTTATCGGACTAAATGCTGTCACAAAGTATACTTTTGGCACCATATGCTTAATTGTGAGATGATAGATGAAAGCCCCTTCCTTCTTCAGAGAATAATGTTGTCCTAAATTAAGCTATGTATATTCAGAGTCAGATTATCTTGTTTAGTCTTAATATCTACCCTTAGTGATCTGAGATTAATATATATATTATTATATTATAGAAGAGTCTAGGAATGACTATCAATGATCCAATAAGATCACTACTAATGTCCAATATATTTATAAAATATATAAGTGGGCCCCACCACCTTCCACTTAAATACTACATATTATATATTATTAATTACTATACTATAAATCACTACTAATATCCAATATATTTATCAAACTATATAAGTGGGCCTCACCACCTTCCACTTAAATACTACATATTATATATTAATTACTATACTATAAATGACTTAAATACTCCATATTATCTATTACAATAATTAACAATTATTTGACACTTTAAATTCTATCAATGCCATATAAATTAGGATAAAAAACCTAACATAAAATATTTAAATATATTTAAAAATAATATAAGTAATACTATACATTACAATAATTAACAGCTTAATTATTTAAAACTTATATAAAAAATTTAATTGACTCTCTAAATTCTATTGGTACCACATAAAATGGATTATATAATAAACATATATTGTTTGAAATTGACGAAAAAGAAACAATAAATTACAATAATTAATAAAAAAAATAGTCCACTCCAAAAAATCTATCAATTAACAACATATATTGTTTGAAATTGACGAAAAAGAAACTATAAATTACAATAATTAACAAAATAAATCTCTCGACTCCAACAAATCTATCAATTAATGCCACATAAATTGGGACATGGCAAATAACATACATTATTAAAAAATTAGGTTCAAAATGTACTAAAAAATACAATAATTAACAACTTAATATATTAAAGAGACATATAAAAAAGGGTCAATATTTGAAATTCTGCATTTGCCACATAAATTAGAACAAAGAGAGTAATAAATATTATTTTCAAAATTATGTTAAAAAAAAGTACTACAAATCACAATAGCTAACAATTTAAAATATTTTTTAAATCATATAAAAATTTCAATAACTTCTCAAATTCCATAATATGACATAAATAAATAAAAAAGTGTTATAAATCATAATAAATAGTACAATATTTAAACTACTTTAAAAGCATTATAA